TGTGGACCGCCATTTTGAAATAACGCGGTTATTTTGAAAGAAATCCCTTCTTCCGAAATAACCCTTACTCCTCAAAAAAAATGGTTTACCGCTTATTGTGGAAGAAGGGGTTTCTTTCAAAATAACCGCATCTACACAGCGTTTGTTATTTTGAAATAGCGGCAGTCCACAATTATGCAAATGAAGTGTGGGAAATTCAACTCCTCGCTTCGGTTGTAATTTTGCTCAGCTGCATTTGCATCCCTCTCTCAAAAGAGGGTGCAAGTGCAGACATACCCTCAGTAGCACTGCTGAGGAGATGTAGGGCTGGCATGTCAGTCGGGGTGGAATTTCCACATTCCAGAGCAATAGTTATACCACTGTGTAGCATAGATCTGCTCCTAGAAGTTCTCTGCCCTTTTTACCAGTTGGCCGGTAACCTAAGGGATAACCATGCCACAACAAGTTTACACCCATTACTCAAAAGACTTTTGTGCCCCATGCTCAGCTGAAGATAGCAAGGACCTCAAACGCTTGCAAGATCCGCAAGTCACCCTGCCCTACATAGCTCTTTCAGAGCCACAGCCCAAGCTGCAACTGTAGTAGGAACTGCAATTCTCCAGCTGCACAAAGGCTTTGGAAAGGAAACGTTCTTGGGTAGCGAAAGCTAGAGCTCATTCTAGGCCATCAAGTTACAAATTTCACACGTCTTTTTAGTTCAGTATTTTTACGGTAGCATGTTATAGAATTCATTTTAATACTTACCAATTCTAGCGCTCATGGGGATTTGGCTCATGCCTGGAGTAGTGACATAGGGCCCGTTCCTCATTGGGGCTAGCATATGCCTCAGTTTCTCTCATGTAAAGTGGAAACCCTGCTGTTGGGAAGGGTTACATGTGCTGGTGGTGAGCCCCACAAAGAGCAAGACCACATCTATGCAGTGCAAGCTCACACAGAACTTGTGGCTCTTGTGGCAGAGTGTCTGTGCGAAGTGCTACGGAGGATTGGAGGCCTCCACTTGAACACACAGCAGTCACTATAGGAAATGCCTAGTTTGTCTTTAAAAGATTTGAGTACTGTACCAAGTAATCGGACATTACTTGCAGGCAGATGTTGTCTCATGTACACGTTACACCGACATGATTTCGTTTGGGAGTTAGATGGGATATATCAGGCTTCCTATTACCATGAGCAATATCCTTAGGCACTGGGCCTCCAGCATGTCTCCAACCTAGGAGTGCTCTTCTTCCAGCCAGTCTTATCCATGCCGATGTTAAAACACTTTGAAAGAGATGTAGTTTGAGTCTATCCTGTGCCCTCTCCACTAGTAGGTCTGTAACTTTAAGAACAAGTAGTCCTACGGCCCCTTAGGGCATGTCTACTAAGGATGTTAAGGATCAGGCAGTTGACTAATTGAATAGTCTATGCATTTTTTAATCAACTATGACTAGTCAATAGGGTGCCTCCTCCTTTGAGGTGTAGCAACAGCCCTAGCGGCTGTCCCCAGCTGATCCTGGGCTCCGTGCACACAAAGTACAGGATGCATCTAGTGCTGCTGCTTAGAAGTATCCCCTCTTCTTCCCTGCCTTGCTGCCTCAGAGAGGCAGCAAGGGGTGTGACTAGTGGACTATCAGATAGTCAACTAGCGCTTCACATCCCTAATGTCCACACAAGAAAACTTTTGAAATAATTAAAATCAATTTAATAACTCCTCAAATAAAATTGAAATAGCATGTCTATGCTACAAGGATGGCTTGAAATTAGCAGGAGGCAGGCTGTTAACATGGACACACTACCTTGAGTTTGTGCCCCAGGAAGCACTGCTGCGTAATTAGTCTGAATTACTCTGAGTAGTCCTGTTGAAATAGCTGTACTGGAGCATCTATGCTACTGCTATTTTGAAATTAGCATTATTCTGAGGAAAGCGGGAGTACAGCTGTCAAAACAAGCAGCCTGTTAGACATCTATGAGGGATGATCTAGAGAGAATGCTTGGTCCTGCTGTGAGGGCAGGGGCCTGGATTCCATGACCTCGAGGTCCCTTCCAGTTCTAGTGTTCTATGAAATAGGTTGAATTAATAAGCAGCAGGTCCACCCTACCAAGCCTAACTCCCTTGTCCTTTATTTTGAAATAAAGCCCTAGTATAGACCAGGACCTACAGCAGGGCTACTCAACACCTGGCCTGTGGGCAGCCCATTTGTTTGGGGCCCATCTTGGGGTTTGGGTTTATGTGGGGCTCAACATGTGGCCTGCCTGTAGGAACCAAAACACAAACATAGTCAATAAAATGATCTTCTGTTGGTATGAGTTTTAGTAGTTCAACTCCTGGACTACTATGCTCATTAAGAGTGTTGCCGTAAGGGTGGAAATCAGGTAAATATGACATTTTATTAGTATCAGCAGAACTGAGGTAAACAGGGCCTGCATGTTGTGTAGTCCTGCCCATTGGTGTGAAACTATCTGCATGTGTGTGTGTGTACACACACACACACACACACACACACACACACACACACACACACACACACACAAAACCACTTAAGTTGCAGCCCTGGGCATGTGCGATTTGAGTACTGTACCAAGTAATCGGACATTACTTGCAGGCAGATGCTGTCTTATGTACACGTTACACCGACATGATTTCGTTTGGGAGTTAGATGGGATATATCAGGCTTCCTATTACCATGAGCAATATCCTTAGGCACTGGGCCTCCAGCATGTCTCCAACCTAGGAGTGCTCTTCTTCCAGCCAGTCTTATCCATGCCGATGTTAAAACACTTTGAAAGAGATGTAGTTTGAGTCTATCCTGTGCCCTCTCCACTAGTAGGTCTGTAACTTTAAGAACAAGTAGTCCTACGGCCCCTTAGGGCATGTCTACTAAGGATGTTAAGGATCAGGCAGTTGACTAATTGAATAGTCTATGCATTTTTGAATCAACTATGACTAGTCAATAGGGTGCCTCCTCCTTTGAGGTGTAGCAACAGCCCTAGCGGCTGTCCCCAGCTGATCCTGGGCTCCGTGCACACAAAGTACAGGATGCATCTAGTGCTGCTGCTTAGAAGTATCCCCTCTTCTTCCCTGCCTTGCTGCCTCAGAGAGGCAGCAAGGGGTGTGACTAGTGGACTATCAGATAGTCAACTAGCGCTTCACATCCCTAATGTCCACACAAGAAAACTTTTGAAATAATTAAAATCAATTTAATAACTCCTCAAATAAAATTGAAATAGCATGTCTATGCTACAAGGATGGCTTGAAATTAGCAGGAGGCAGGCTGTTAACATGGACACACTACCTTGAGTTTGTGCCCCAGGAAGCACTGCTGCGTAATTAGTCTGAATTACTCTGAGTAGTCCTGTTGAAATAGCTGTACTGGAGCATCTATGCTACTGCTATTTTGAAATTAGCATTATTCTGAGGAAAGCGGGAGTACAGCTGTCAAAACAAGCAGCCTGTTAGACATCTATGAGGGATGATCTAGAGAGAATGCTTGGTCCTGCTGTGAGGGCAGGGGCCTGGATTCCATGACCTCGAGGTCCCTTCCAGTTCTAGTGTTCTATGAAATAGGTTGAATTAATAAGCAGCAGGTCCACCCTACCAAGCCTAACTCCCTTGTCCTTTATTTTGAAATAAAGCCCTAGTATAGACCAGGACCTACAGCAGGGCTACTCAACACCTGGCCTGTGGGCAGCCCATTTGTTTGGGGCCCATCTTGGGGTTTGGGTTTATGTGGGGCTCAACATGTGGCCTGCCTGTAGGAACCAAAACACAAACATAGTCAATAAAATGATCTTCTGTTGGTATGAGTTTTAGTAGTTCAACTCCTGGACTACTATGCTCATTAAGAGTGTTGCCGTAAGGGTGGAAATCAGGTAAATATGACATTTTATTAGTATCAGCAGAACTGAGGTAAACAGGGCCTGCATGTTGTGTAGTCCTGCCCATTGGTGTGAAACTATCTGCATGTGTGTGTACACACACACACACACACACACACACACACACACACAAAACCACTTAAGTTGCAGCCCTGGGCATGTGCTGTGAGTATCATTGTAGCCCTGGCTTAGAGCATCATGAGCTTTTGTGGGCAAAACACACTGACTAGACTAATGGCTAGAACACACCTAATGGCTGGAGGAGCCTTTACAGGCTGCATTACTACGAAACAACATCTCTCAGCCAGAGGTATGGCAGTCAAAGAAATGTAAAAGCTGACTTGCTAGAGATTCAGGACAGATGGTTAGTAGGTGTTACATGAGAGAAAAGCTGTTTACTGGAACAACTGCAGAAAGTGTGCTTCAGGAATCCTCTCAAAGCCTCATGACTTGTCTGTTAGTCTCATCTCAATTATTACAGTCAGGGGAGCAGAGACAAGTTTCCCCTCTTACTTTCCTTCACGTCTATCCAGGCTGGAAGCCTCAAGTCCCAACCCACATGCTTCATTCCCTATATATGCTACAGCAATCAGCGATTCCTCAAAAGCATGCCTGTTTGATCATTAGTTAACTGGCTTCTTTGCTTTAGTTCTGTTTCAGGAACACACAGTTCCACCAGCATACACTCTTTATATTTAGGTTTTCTTCCCAATCAAGTGTTTAGATTCTGTTACTCTGAATATGGGATATACAGCTGCAGCAAGCAAAGAGTGTTTGACACCACCAGGCCCTTTAAAAGCAAGTGCCCAACCCATAATACTGTAGTTTCTTGGCTGAGTTTCCCTTCACCCTCTTTCACAGATGGTAACGGTTTTAAAAATCTCAGATTTCTCCATTAGGGATCCTATATACTGAGCTGTTACATGCTTTCCACACTGCAGCTTCACAGATCTCAGAAACTGGTACGCGAATGTCCATCCAGCAGAGCCCTGCATGGGACCGACTACTTTTTAATTGTGCTCACATCACTCCTGTTGCACAGAGCTCTACACCAGTCCCATGCAGGGTTCTAATCTAGAACTTGCTTTCCTGTCCCAGATTACTAACTCATGAGTACTTAATGAAGAATGGCAGCAAGACATGCACCAGGTCAGGCCCTTTAATCTGTCTGAGACAGGTGCCGAAGCACAAAAAAAAAAAAAAATAATAAATGATAAAACGTTCTGCATTTTTACAGCAAAAACCTACAGAAATTTATAGGGAAAAATATTTTTGTACATGGGGTAAAACGTTATAAATTCAAGACAACTCACAGACAAAGGGAAACTCCCACATCTAGCACTCATTTCTTTAAAAAGTTCACTTGAATAGCCAGGCAATCGAGCTGGCTCTTTGAAATGATAGTTACTTTTCCCAAGTGGCTCTCAGTTCTGCTTTGCATCTTGGAATGTCCTCAGAAGGCTCCGTGTCAAAACAAAGATGACAGAATAAAAACCTCAGAGTCCTTTCAGATAATGGGGGAAGGAAGAAAAAGGGACCGCTTAGTCATTAAATTTAATCTTCTTCCCCTGTGGCTTCTGTTCTCCTCCTCCTCTGCCTCCCCGGAAGCCACCTCCTCTACCTGGAAAGAAATTGAAGAGATTAGGAATAAAAGCTGCATTTTGTCTGACTTGAACGTTCATACACCCTGACCCCACAGGAGCGTGGAAAGTGTTGGCAAACAGAAGGGAAAGCAAGTTAGTAGCCTAGCATGCCACTTCAGATAAACTGTAAGTAGGTGCCAGACCTGGGACTGTCAGGCAACAGATGCGATAAGCCAAAAAGACTGAAGTCGACAACATGCCAAGCTTTGGTTATATTTTCTTTGTACCTCCAAATCCTCCTCTGCCACCCCTTCCGCTGAATCCACCTCTGCCACCCCGTCCTCCTCCTCCACGGCCGCCAAATCCACCACCTCGCTGGCCATCACCCTTGGGCTTAGCATAGTCGAGGGTCACTTTATTTCCATCAATCTCTCCATCCTCCATAGCTTCTTTAGCTGCTTTGGCATCTTCTGGGCAGCTGAAGTCCACAAAGCCAAATCTATGCGAGGCAATGAAAAGCAAGGTCACCCTCCACTGCAGCAAGCCACGCAATACAGTTCCACCCATCCCGATTAGCTTGCATGCTGAAGAGCTACACTGGAACTTCTGCACTTCTCAGGCTGGGGAGGTGTGGGGCAGTTCAACACTATTTGACTCCCCACCATCCTATAAACCTCAAGTCATCTAAAGTTTAGTTTGTAGATACCCAATTATAGCTTTTAAATGTGCTGTATGAAGCAGGTTACGCTATACAAGGGGGGGGGGGGGGAAAGAGGGGAAATCTCACTAGTATTTCCATCTTCAAGCCATTTTAAAAGTTGGGAAACTGAGGAACAGAAGGTAAGTAACTACCTCAAGTTCACAGGGAAAGCCTGGCAAAGCTATACTTGCCCACTAACAGTTACCACATTTCATGTCCCACAGCACTCAACAGGATGGCCTACACGTGCTTGTTCAAGAATACATATCCACAGAATGTCCCACAGTGTTGGCTAATCACCAGTCTAAAGCCAAGGGTGAATATGCCAGCACTGTGCAATTAATATTCTTCTCGTGCGAATCCATAGGCTGCCACTGTTTCTATGGCAGGAAGGAGCTCATTGAGAAGAGGACAGTAAGCTTTCACTGCTCACAGGTGTCATAAAATATCGCAAGTCCATTTCCTCTTAGCAACTCACTGCCAATGTTAGGAACCAACCCAGTGTCAGATTTTCCATTAACCTAGCTCTCTTCCAACAGCAAGTGACATATGCCATCTCCAGAGTTCAACATACCCTTTGGATGAGCCAGTGTCTCTGTCCATGACTATTCTGGCATTGACAGAACCTTCAAACGACTCCCTCAACGTCTCCTCGGTGGTGTCCTCAGAGAGGCCTTTGACAAACAGCGTTTTGGTTTGTTCTAAACAAGAAAACCCATTTTCAGATCAACCACTTTCGTAAAGTTTCTGCCTTAAGAAACACACATTAGGTTCCCAGCCAAGCTAACATCAAACCCTTTTATGTCAAACAAAGCTAATTGAACACTGGACTAATTGGGGAGGTCACAAAAACCACACACACAATGCTCCCATTGAACTCCTAGTGCACCAAACTTCGCTTAAAAGTACATAAGACTCCAGCGAAGTTATTTATGTAGCTGGAGTTGAATACACTGTCAACCTTCTGTGTCTAGTAAAAGCCTGGCCTAAGATATTTCTTTCAAGATTTTAAAAGGGTGGGTGGGAATTAGCAGTTTATGCCAAGACAATAAGTTGTCTTAGACTTGAAGAGTTTACAAAAAAAGTCAAAGGTAAACTCAAAGAATTTTTCATCAGTTCTCATATCACCTCTTAAGCCTCTCTTGCTTATCAGATGCTAGGAACAGTGAACCAACAAGTCTAATCCAGACCATTTGTTCATGAATTATTATACCATCTCAAAACCCACTTTAGGGCAGGATAAAGTACAGGGCACTTACGATTAAATCCTCCTCTGGCATTAAATCCTCCACCGCTTTTCTGTCCACCTGGTGCGCTGAATTCCAATCTGATTGTTCTACCTTCAATTTCTGTGTTGTTACAGGAATTCAAAGCTTCTTTAGCATCTTCAACTGTGGAAAATTCAACGAACGCATATCTAGGAGAGATAAATTCTAATCAGCCTGGAGACTTGTTGCCATATGGGACCTAAGTAGCATGGAACCAGTCACGCTGCCAATACCGAAATCTTTACTACAGGGCTAGATCACTTAACCAAAACGAATTCACTCTTACGCACCCTTTAGGCTTGCCTTGGACGTTTTGTGGCATCCTGATAGAAGAGGCTCTCTCAAACACTTCTTGAAGAGACTCTTCTGTTGCATTGTACGAGAGATTGTTCACAATTAACGTCTTTGACTCTCCACCTACTAGAAAAAAGAGAAAGACAGCTTAGAACTGCGCATTGATACAAAGATTTACTGAACTAAACTCAGCAGCTTTTAGGAGAATAGAGCATTGAGGATTACCTTACTAAGTAAAGATATGTATCTGCCTCAGTCACCATGCAAAGGGAAGGCTCCTAAGCACAAGCTAGCCAATAATTCTCATGTGCTTGATTACCATTTAGCATACTGTATGTCAGGGTCATTGGTACCAGGACTAGCTAGACTGGTAGTCTCCAATCTTTTCATACCCAAGATCACTTTCCAAATGTCAGAACAAGCCAATATCTACTGCCCATCCTTCCAAGACCCCACCCCTTCCTTGAAGCTCCACCCTCTGTTATCCTCCTCTCCATCACTTGCTATCCCCAGCCCTTATACACTCTCCGAGTATGGCTACACACTGCTGCTTTTTTCCCCGATTCTTCTGTAGGAAGAGGTTTTCCTGACATTTGGCCCGTCTAGATTGGGCCAAATGTCAGAAAACCCCCTTCTTTCAGAAGCCCCCTTAATCCTCATGGAACAAGGAACACAGGGATTACCAAAAGAGCAGGTTTGCTCTTCCGCTTAAAAAAAAAAGGGGGGGGGGTGGAGGAGAGAGAAGAAGAGAGAACAAATGCGTCCCTGGATGCGGAAGAGTTTTTCCAGGATACCTCTTGGAATCCCAGAAAAACTCCTGCAGTCTAGCTGTACGTACCCTCACTGGGTTGAGACAGGATGTGTGGGCTCTGGGATAGGAATGAGGGGGAAGGGAGGAGGGGGAAAGCACGGAAGGGGTGAGAGGTGCAAGCTTTGGGAGGGAATCTGGATGCAAGAGAAGATGGAGAAGGGGATGCTGGCTCAGGGAAGGAGCTCCAGGCTTGTGGATGTGAGGGTGCAGGAGTTTGGGTTGGGGTATGTGAGGGGCTCAGTGCAGGGAGGTTGGGAGTATAATGGGCTCAGGACACAGATTTGCAGTGTGTGGATGGCGCAGAAGTGTTGTGGCAGAAGACTTGAGGATGAGAGAGGCTCAGGACAGGGGGTTCCAGTGTATATGATAGGCTCAGATCTAGGGTCGGGGGGAGGGGATGTGCAGGAGTGTTATGATGCTGCAGCCAGATGGGGGCTTGTTGGCCAGGCTTCATTTTTAAATAAAATATGTCACACAAAGTTTCAGCATTTTCTTTATTTATGAGAGGGGCGGGGAACCTGTTCTGAGTCAGGGGTCACTGATCCACAGAAAAGTCAGTTGGGGCCACACAAGTGAGATGCAAAAAAATAACTCCTCTAAAACTCCCCCAAGCCTCACTAATGTGGCCTCAACTGTGCTGGTGGGAGCAGGGGAATATGGTACTGCGGAAGGGTGCCAGTGGGAGTGGGGGTAGGGGCTCCCCCCCCACACACATTCCCCGCAGAGGAAGAAGTTCCGGCACGCTCCTCCTCTGCGAACTCCTACCTCACCCCATGCAGCAAAATCCCAGCATGCCACAGATCTGTGTTGTGGTACCGTGCCGGCTGTTTGGGGAGGGAGAACAGACAGTGAACTTCCTGAAACCCCGGAAGTGGAGCGCAGGTGCCGGACTTCCTCCATTGTCACTGGAGGTAGTAGTGGGGCTTCTTGGGGGTGGGGAGAAATGGGGAGGCCCCGAATGCCTCGCAATCGACTGGTTGAGCCCACCTAATCAACCAGTCAATTGCGATTGACGGGTTGGTGACCATGGAGCTAGACTGTTCAGAACTGAACTCTCTGTATAACTTAAATCCTTTTGAAATTTCGTAAGAAGGGTTTAAATGCTCATTTGTGCAAGATGCTGAATTGACAGCCCTCAAAGTAAATCCTCAAATCTAACACACACTCTTTAGGTCAAAGTCTAAAGAAAGAAGGTACTTATTTCACCAGGTCAAACACAACAGGGACAGGAGCCTGAAGTATGAATTGATGGACCCACTAATAGGAACATTAGGATTTCTGGTGAACTGCTATGATTTGCTTGGGATAGGAGAACATCTTACCTGACCTCTGTTAATCTGTCTTGGTTATCATGCACCTTTAGCTCATTACAGTGCCATATAAATACCTTTTTGTGTCTCTTGTTGGCTCTTCTCGCCGGTGTAGTCTAAGATGATGGCACGACCCTCGATTTCAGTGCCCTGCTTCTCCTCTAGTGCCTTGTCTGCCTCAGCTTCTGTTTTAAACTCTATATAGGCAATCCTACAATAGTGAAGAAAGCAGATGAACTAACCATTTCTTTTAAGAGTTGAATACACTCAAAAAGTTAAAACCCAAACAATGCTTTTTAGGACAAGAAGTACAGAATTTCACTATTGTCAGCAGCTCTTGGAGAGCAAAAAGACACTAGTTAAGAATAAAGAGCCTGGGGAAAGTTTACATGTGAAATAAAATGCCACAAGTTATCACATACCCTTTACTGCTCCCATCCTTGCCAGCCACTAGTCTGATTTCTAGTGCATCTTCAAAGACTTCTCTCAATTCATCCTGAGTTATACGGTAAGGCAGGTTCTTCACAAAGAGCGTTCTGGCATCTCTCTCTACAAGAGAAAAAAAAATTTTTTTTTTTTTTTAAATTGAGCTTCTCTAGCACACTGTGGACCGGCGAAAAACTTGTTTGTTCAGTTCTTTTAGATCTAACCTGCCAGCTCCAGGAAAACCAGAGTAATTCATGTATGTCACCAGACTACAGTGAAGTTGATACTCATTTGTGACAATTATAATTTTACTCATTAAGGTCTAAATATGGCAGAGATGTTTCTACCTTTTGGTTTGTTGCTGACATGAACATTCCCCCAAGATGATATGGGCAGTATCTGAAGTCTGCCTCCATACTTGAGACATACATCTAAAATTCTTATTCCACTTTAGTTGAACACAATTTAAGATTTCCAAAGTCAGCCTCCATTAATTTCATCTAATTCCCCAGACACTTTGAAAATCTCAGTCCTTGAAAACAAGGTTCTGACAGGAAGTGGTGAATTTATACAACCAGAACCTGTTACGTCAACTTACGTTAGTTTAAACTTTGTTAATAAGAAACGTTAACCAAGAGGTACAATTTCTTCTCTGAATAGTATGAAGATACAACAAAACTATGGATTTAAAGCCATTTCTGCAGGTTTTACTACAATCACCAACCAGAACAGGCCAGTGGCAGTCACTGTGGCTCGCTAACCATGACAACATATATTACCCGGAATTCTAACAGATAAATAACAAAAATTAGTTTTCAAACCTTTCTTTGTTTCTTTATTGGTTTCTTTACTCCTTGCTCTCTCCAATTTGATTTCCAAACCCATGAATTTCTTCCCATTGAATTCAAGGGATTTATCCAGATCCTCAGCGGATGAGAAGTCTACATAGCCAAACCGCCTGAAAGAAGAATATAATAGCTATACTGAACTTTGGAGAGTGTCAACACATTGTGGCTAGTAAGGATGTGTCTACACTACACTGTAAATCATGGTCTGTGCAACCAGGGCTTATGGACTTGCTGTTCCAAGGCCATGCTTGAACATCCCCATTGCACTGTAAACCTGAGCTGATTGCTGAGCTTCTGATTACAGACATGCTAATGTACCCATCCTGTAAAAATGAAAAGGACTTGGGGGACCTCAGTCCTGCTTGCTGACTGATACGAGTTAGTCCCCTTTCTATTCACATGCACACATCAGTCTAAGTGCAGTCCTGATTCAAGTTTGAACTCAAGTACCGTGTACACATTCCATTAAGAGTCAACTTCAAGAAAAGTGCTAATGACTGAAGTTTACAGAAGCCTCAAACTATGAACAGTACATAATTAATCGTAGTCAGAAGAGTTGTGCTCCTAGAATTGCGATACTAAGACAAACATGTCTTCAGACTGGAACTCAGAGTTTAGAGATGGAAATGCATAAGATCAGTTACATCTCAACTACTAGATGTGCTGGTTTAGGTCTTTATCCTGTATTCAAACTGACAGATTTCCTGTGCCTTCCTTTAAAATCACTTAACTGTTTTCAACATCTGCAAAATGGATATGCTTACCCAAGTGATAGAACTAATAAGAATTGGTTGCCTAGTACTAAATATTTAAAAAACACCCACACACAAGTTGCCCTGCCCCCCCCCCCGAAAGGTGACTCTTAAGAAAGTGTAATAGTTTGGATTAAGCTGCCCAATTAAGAGCTATATGTAAATGGCCTAAAATGAATATTGAACCCTTCCTCTTTAGTACGGACATGCAGCTTGAAGCAGCAACCAGCCCCTGGAGAATGCGCTACTTTGTTCAGAGCAGCATGAAGCTCAGCTTGGCCCAACAGTTCCACATACTATCCGGTGACTCTTAAGAAAGTGTAATAGTTTGGATTAAGCTGCCCAATTAAGAGCTATATGTAAATGGCCTAAAATGAATATTGAACCCTTCCTCTTTAGTACGGACATGCAGCTTGAAGCAGCAACCAGCCCCTGGAGAATGCGCTACTTTGTTCAGAGCAGCATGAAGCTCAGCTTGGCCCAACAGTTCCACATACTATCCAATGACCATTAAACATACAAACAGAAAGTGGCAGCAGAATAAATTAAAAGCTTACTTGGAACCACCAATTCTGACTTCCAGCACTGGAAGGTTTTTTTTGCCAAAGAATTCCTTGATGGCAGTCTTCAATTCCTCATAGTCCTTGCTGGCATTCAAGTTTCCCATGAACAGGGAAAAAGCTGAAGCAGTTTCTTTAGGGGGAAAAAAAGTTCAATTAGGCATGCAGGATGATAAATTGAAGGCATTTCACTATAAAGGACTACAGCACATCAGTTTGCTTAAGTCACATCAGACTTCAGTATTAAGTCCCTAAACTCATCATTTGTGCTGGCAGCACTATATAAAAGTTAAGGACGTTAAAGTTAATGCATTTAAATATGTAATTGTATAACTGCCGAAAGTTTCAGCTGTTACACACGTGTAGGGGTGGGGAGAAGGAACAGCGAGTGAGCATATGCTTCCCAGGAGCTGGTGGGGAAGCCGGCTTTTAAGACAGCTCCTGTGCTGCTGCCTCCAATACAGAGGCAGCAGCATCAGTGGGATGGGGTGTTGTGTGTAACTATGTAAATTTTCACAGCCCTAGTAAAAGCCAAAGATTTCAAACCCTATAGCGCAAATTCCCCAGCTATTACTTTAAATGAAGAAAGTTTTGAACATTCACGCTGGAGCAATACAGTTAGACTTTCAGCAGCACAAGCGTAACATTTCAGGATACTCCACGCAGCAAACTTACCTTCAGTTCTCTTTTTCTTGGCTTCTGGGACAGTTTTTTGCTTGGGCATTTCCTTCTTACGTTTTCCAGGAACTTCCTTCACAGGTTCTGCAGTACAGGAAAACACATCATAAGGATCTTAGAATAAAAGGCAGGCACCTGGTGCAACACCTTCCACTCCCGGTCATGCTGGATCAGTACTTGACTATCTTGAGAAACTTTCATTGTGATTTTCATCACATCAGGTCGATTACATTTTCATCATTTCCAAGACAGGGGTAGACATACTTTTTGCCTATCGTTCCTGTATACTGCAGCAGGGATTCACACAAGCATAAAACATTCAAACTCACCTTCCTCCTCGTCATCGTCGTCCTCCTCGTCATCATCCTCATCGTCGTCATCATCGTCGTCCTCATCCTCAGAGTCTGCCTTTGCTTTCACTGGAGCAGCTTTCACCGGTGCAGCTTTCTTTCCTTTTGCTATGCTTGTGTCCATTGCCTCATCTTCAGAGTCTGAAATATCAAAGCAAATATCTTTCTTAGGAATGGTTTGATTCATGGGCAACTGAACAAGGATTCTCTACCCTCATTCCCCTCGAGTATCATGGGGCATGCTTCTCGTCCTTTCGTGTTGTCCATTTCAGTCTGTAAGCGCTTTGGGGGCAGGGACTCAGTGTATTTTACAGTGCTTAATACACAACTGGATTGAGGACCCAAAGAGGTCTCTTAGCCCACATCTGCATTGCAATAAATATACTTGCAGCTGGTCATCTGACACAGGCCACACGTGGACATTTTATTGCAGTGTAGATGTACATTCTATACTTCCATTTGAAGCACTCAGTAGGTAAATAGCAATAGGAAATAATTGTTACAATGCCAAGACACTTCTTTGTTTTATTTCTACATGTCAGTAGTCAGTAAAATCAGATCTGCTGTATGTGAAAGACAAGTAAACTGGTTTTAATAATACAAAGAGCTCGATATTTTATTAATGCCACAGCCTCTGAGTTCAAGTCAACTCAAAACTGGTGTATAGATTTATAATTACAAAATGCAATCTTCCCATAATCAGCGAAGCATACATACCATCTTCCTCATCCTCCTCTTCATCATCATCCTCCTCTTCATCATCATCAGATTCTTGTTTTGCGGGTACTGCCACAGGTTTTGCTGGTACAGGCTTTTTGGCTGAAGGCTTTACAGGCATTGCTACTTCCTCCTCTGAAACAAGAATTTATCATTCACTAGTCTGCGTCTACAAAGGAGCATTTATCCTGTTAATTCAGGTTCGCCCAAGGAACACTCAGATGTTGGTACAGAAAGCTGTGAAAAAGCATGGAACGAAGCATTGGCTTGAACCATGCACAACAAAGAGCCCATGAGTGTTGCCTGTAATCTTTTCCATCCATGTGTTTTTCTTCCCATGTGCAATAATTTTTTATATGCACTAAGGCATGTGCTAATGTGCACTACCAATAAAACAAAAACCTAGCAGTGGGCACTGTTAACCAGTTAGGCAGCACTAGAATCTCTCCTGAGCAGCCACACAAGTGCCCAGCTCACAGGGAACACTGGAGACAATGCAGTATTTCTCCAATCAGCTCTCCTACTTTTAACTGAGATCTGACCTCTCTACCCCTTACCTTTGCGACACAAATCCCATGCCTCATTTAAGAGCCGCCAATTGTGCTGAACTGTGATCAGGACAAGTAGGAGCTATTTGGGATGAGGTAGTTTTGTTCAAAAATGATAAAGCATTTAACAGAAAAGTGACTTTTGACTTGCCAGAATCATCTTCATCCTCCTCACTGTCATCATCATCCTCGTCCTCCTCCTCATCCTCCTCTTCCATCACTTTTTTCTTTGCATTTTTTCCATTTTTAGCTCCTTTGGCTGGAGTGGGAACTGCTTTCTTGGCTTGTGTAGCAACTGCCTTCTTGGCTGGAGTGGCAACTGCCTTCTTGGCCGGAGTGGCAGCCTTTTTGCCAGGTGTAGCTGCTGCTTTTGGGGTTACCACCTTCTTCTGAGGAACACCCTTAGGGAAACAAGACAAATCCAATGAGCATACGCAACTCCTAAATTGATTGTTCAGCTAATGAATGATATCACTACCCATCCCACCACAACCACCTATCCCACCACAACCATTCAGCAAGCTAGCTCTTCTAATGGAGCACCTAGAAAGAGGGCCAAGGACTATACCATGAAGCCACCTTGGCGGCTCACCACGAACTAAACGACTGTCCTTCATTTACATATAAAATATAAATCTCCCTGTTACATATGAACTTGTGCCACACCTATGCCTGTTTCTGCATCACCCCCCCCGCCGCTTCCCTCCACATCTTGGACCTCTTGTGGTGGTGGGGTTAGCAAGTGCAAAGAGAAACCAATATTAAAAGTGCTTGGTAAGCGCTGAGTATTACCAGGTACCCTTACTAACAGCTACTTTGTTTGTGATAAAATACCCATAGCTAGCAACTCTTGAGTATTCGAGGGATGTAAAAATGTAAACCCATAGCCACTAAAAATAATGAATTACATGTGCTGCATGCACTGCGATATAAAACTTATATTGCAAAGCCCAAGCAAAGCCTCCCTTGGAGTGGAGCCAGCAGAAACTGCTGCTGGTCCCACTCCCAGGGAGAAGGCTCTGTTGCCAGCCCTGCTCCTGGGAGCCATCGTGTAAGCTGCAGGGGGGGGAACCGCCATGGACAGCACTTGCTCCGGTGGTCCTGGCACAGCTCCCTGTCCTGGATAGGCGGGAAGGTGCTCCAGCCCCCACCAGTTAACCGGAACTAATAAACCTCAGCTGTTACAGATGAGGCTTACCGGATAAGCTTTTACATCCCAGTATTCTCCCCTAGCTTTATGGGAAAAGAACAAATTGGAAAATAATTAGTTCGCTGAAGTGTTTCCTCAATACACTCAAAGCTTTACAGTGCTACATTTGAAGTCACTGTCTCAGTCTATTTATTCCTCTATTTCATTCAGTGAAGGCTTCTGAGTTGTGTTTCTCAAATGATTAATTTTCAGTAACGTGTAACTGAATAGTTGCGTAATGGCATCATTTTTTTAAGCAGATACATGACTATTCGATAGTCCCTGGGGTGGAGCCGGTATCCAGAGCACTCCAGCCCCACACCTGGGCAGCCCCCGTGCCACTTTGCCCCCCCCTTACTGTCTGATATGGGGGCAAAAGTGCAGAGCAGCAGCAACCCCTGTCTGTGGGGAGGTCCCAATGTAATACCATTAACTCACAAACATCCCACTCTCCCTACCTTTAATATCAGCAATTCACAGACACTTACCTTCCTTCCTCCCCCTTCCCACCCCCCCGCATCCCCCTTCTGTTCTGCAATGTGATTTGTCCTTTTCATATTTGTTCTTTTTTTTAATTGTATCCTTTGGTATATATGGTTGTGACTACTTTCTTCCACTATTTGATCTGAGGAAGTGGGTCTGGCCCACGAAAGCTCATCATCTAATAAACCACCTTGTTAGTCTTTAAAGTGCTACATTGTCCTGCATTTTGGTAAACTTAGGCTTTTTAGTTAATTGTTTAGTTAACTACGTGTCGACATCCCAATTCCCAAAGTAACATATAGCAAGCTAGAATCCAGATGTAAAATGATCACCTCTTCCTCACTGCTGTCTTCTTCCTCGGAGGACTCCTCCTCCTCGCTATCATCTACATCTTTTGGGGGGGGAGGAGCCACTTTCTTCTGTTTGGCTTGATTCTTCGGACTCTGGAAGAACGCACATGAGAGGTCACCCACTTAAGTTTCCATTGTAGAGAAATATATTTTTTTAAACGTAAAGTACCCCAAAGCCATAAAACACTTTAAGTCAAGATCCATTTTGACTTTTTCGCAAAACTGCTTCCAAACCGGCCTTGCACGCGGGTGATTACAACGGGAGGGGGGGGGGACCCCTGCACGTCCATATC